TAGGGCGTATTGGCATTATTGCTGCTCCCTCATCCACCCTGCCCCATTCTCAACAAATTAGGATAGACATGGCCACTATGGTGCCGGATATGATATTGCTAACTTGTCTTCGCTGTGTCATGACTCATTGTTAATGCTGAGATACCTGCTCTCTGTCTGTTTATGCTTCTAAAAGACGACAAGCCCTGCAGAAAGGTACCAACACACATCAGCCGACTCGTACGTAAACACTCAATCTGCAAAGAGAGGTGCACTGATCCCACTGCCAAATAAATCATTCCCATCTGTAGAAAGGCCATGTTAGCAAACCTGACACGAATGCCAGAAGTCAAGGCCAGGTTAACTTGAAGTCAGGGTGGGTTCTTCGACGTGGTGTATCACCTAATAACTGGTGCTGAATGAAACAGGACATGCCAAAGAGATCAGCAGCTGAGCTTCCATATGTGCAAGGATGCCAACCACCATGTCTGCAAGCCCTGGCACATCTACCTAACAATAATCACGTGACACTATTTCAGGGATACATATTAATGATACACATTCAAAATAATGCCAGGCAATCTATTCCCATCTACCTAAAAGTATCCAGGTTCTCATCCAAAAGACAGCACCTCCAATAGCACAGCTTTCTCCAGTGTGGCACTGCAGTACAGTTTAGACTGCAGAGTGGTCAGGCTTACACCACAGTGTAAAGAAAGTCAAATTAGGACTTCATTGATGTACATACAGTATTAAAATATGTCGTTTAAAATATATAATATTGAAGAAGCCTGTCTGCAATATGTTCAAATTCAGTCAAATTTGTAGAAAAGGCCATAATTTTCAGCAAGTTTTAAAATAAAATGATTGAATAAATTTTGTTACTCAAATATTTCAAGCTGTCTGCCAATTTATAAAGTAGCGACAATTGAGAACATTTAAAATTAAAATGAATGCTTGGAAAGAAAGACTGGACAAGCACAATATGCAGTAAAGGGTTAATTATGCTTTTACTCTAAAGTTAACTACTGAACATGTGTGGTAAGGAGTTACACCATCGTGAGATCAGATCGCATGGAACTGAAGCCTGAGTCTGTAGGGTGTCAGCAGGATGTCGTCTCTGACCTGCCTTGTACATTCTTATGTTTAATAAAAACCTGTTAATGTTGACTCACAAGAGTGTAGACTTCACCTTCCTACACATGTAACGACTAACTAAATTTCATGTTTTTATAAAAACCAAAAGAACTGCGGATGCTGTGAATCAGGAACAAAAGCCGAAGATGCTGGAAAAGCTCAGCAGGTCTGGCAGCATCTGTGAAGAAAATATCAGAAATAATGTTTCAGATCCAGTGACCTTTACTCAATTCTGACCCGTAACGTTAACTCTGATTTTTCTCTTCACGGATGCTGCCAGACCTGCTGAGCTTTTCCAGCAACTTCTGTTTTTATTCATCTTTTTATGTTGTTTTTGCGAAGAGCAACGATTATAGATGCACCCTGGGATAGATAAAGCGCCATAATTTACTTCCAACTCCTGAAAGTAATTGAAGAGCAAACAAAAATATTAATTCAACTTTACAATTTCAGTTTATACAACGCAGAGAAGTTGCACTTCCATTTCCTCAGAACATCACTCTTGTTGATTTGCCCTTCAAACCACCATTTCTCTGATTTTAAAAGGACCCATTTGTTGCTACTTTGTTAACCAGCGATCATCATCTAAGAGGCTTGTTGTATATTTCTGCAATGAATGTTGTGTACACTCAATTTGAAAGAAGTATCAGACTCTCAATAATTAGTAGTCACGTGACTCTTCGATTCAGAGAACACACGGAAGTAGTCCAAGTGAGGTAAACCTTTATTTATTGATTAAAGTTCTTCATCAAGGCTGTTTGATTAACTCTCTTTTGCAAAACGGATTTAATGAGCAGCACAGCACTTAACAAAAAATTCATGAGGTACATGCCTTATATGCTTAGACACGTGCTTTCAGCCTGCTGCAGGGTCCTGTGGAGGAGTTTTCGAATGTTTTCTGTGTTTTAATGAATCCAGCATTAATAGCACCAACAGGCAGCAACGCAAGATTTCAAAACTAAATTTCAGTTCCATCTGGGAGGCTGAAAATGTTACATATGCATATTAATCAATCAAAACTTTCTAGCTGATTAAAGGTTTAACAGCACCTTAGGTTTGTTTAATGCATCTTCATCAGTTGTGCGAGCCTTTGGTCTTTTACTTATAAATTCTGTGTTCTGTCTACTTCTTTCTCACTTCACTTGACGAAGGGGCTACGCTCCGAAAGCTTGTGTTTTCAAATAAATCTGTTGGACTATATCCTGGTGTTGTGTGACTTCTGACCTCGTTTGAAAAAGGAACTGAGAGTTTGGGGAATCTGAGCTGATGAAACATCAGTTGATGTTTTCAGCTTTGGACTTAGATCCAAACTTTGCCAGGATAATTAAAGTCACACCTACAATGTACTTATTTCAGTGTTCTTTCTATCATTTCTTTCTGACTCATGTTCATTTATAAATATTTGATGTCTTCTTTTTAACCTTTTAATTGCACTTCACATTTTCTCCTTGAGGAACTAGAGACTTAGAAGATGGTGAGGGTGAAATTGTTCTACTTTAGCAACACTAGAAAGGATGATAATGAGATAGCCAACCTTTTTTAATACGGTACCCAATTTTCATTTGAAGTTAATGGAAAAGAATGTTATGCATGATATAAAACGGACTACCAATTCACCATAAGTATGTTTCACAGTATCAGGGGGACCTTGGTGTGCATGTACACTAGTCTCTTAAGGTATCAGGACAGGTGGATGTAGTGGTTAAGACATATAGTATACTTGCCTTTAGTAGTCAAGGCATAGATTTAAGAGCAGGGAGGTTATGCTGGAGCTATATAAAATGTTGATTAGGCCATAGCTACAGTATTATGTGCAGTTCTGGAATCCACATTATAGGAAGGATGTGATTGCATTGGTGAGTGTGCAGAGGAGATTTACCAGGTTGTTGGCTGGGCTGGAGACTTTCAGTTATGAAGAGAGATTGGATAGGGTTGTTGTTCTTAGAGCAGAGGAGACTGAGAGGGGACATGATTGAGATTTACAAAATTACGAGGGGCTTTAGATAGGGATCAATTATCAGAGGGCATAGATTTAAGATAAAGGGCAGAAGGTTTAGAGGAGATGTGAAAAAAACTCTTTTTCACCAAGAGGGTGGTGGAGAATCTGGAACTCACTGCCTGTAAGGGTGGGAGAGGCAGAAAGCTTCAAAACTCTGATGGTACACTTGAGATGCCAAGGTGTACAAGAACTATGAGCCAAGTGCTGGAAAATGGCATTGGAATAGTTAGGTGGCTGTTTTGACTGTCACGGATGTGAGAAGCCAAACAGCCTATTCCTGTGCCGTTCATCTCTGTGACCCTTTCTGAACTCTACAAGTGCATGTTATTAAATGATCTTCAAGCTTAAGAGACGAGCTGACCATCAATGGGTATTTATACTTCCCGATAGATTCTAGATTCACTCACTCACCAAAGCTGAGGATGAAAATTTCAGACGAGACTGAGATAGGAATGTTCAGTTGGTTTGCCTGGTTTTAGAAGAAGGGAAAGTCAATTCATGTTCCCATTTCTAATAATCAACCCCATGGTGTTTGCCTGCCTTCTACATAGCACAATAGGGGAGAGGGGGAGAAACACCAACAAGACAGAAACAGAGCATTTTGTTAGAGTCATTGAGTCACACAGCATGGAAACAGACTCTTTGGTCCAACTCATCCATGCTGACCAAGTTTCCTAAACTGAACTAGTCCCATTTGCCAGCATTTGGCCCATATCCCTCTAAACCCTTCCTATTCATGTACGCACCCAGATACCTTTTAAATGTTGTAATTGTACCATCCTCCACCACTTTCTCTGGCAGCTCATTCCACACACACGCCACCCTCTATGTGAAAAAGTTGCCCCTTAGGTCCCTTTTAAATCTTTTCCCTCTCACCTTAAACCTCTTGTTTTGGACTTCCCTACTCTGTGGAAAAAGACCTTGGCTATTCACCCTATCCATGTCCCTCACAATTTTATAAATCTCTGTAAAGTCACCCCTCAGCCTCCTACACTTCAGGGAAAGAATCCCCAGCCTGTTCAGCCTCCATTTAGCTCAAACCTTCCAATCCCAGTAACATCAGTGTAAATCTTTTCTACACCCTTTCTTCACATATTGGTAATGAACCTTCGATTTAGTACATGCATAGCACCAACCCATTCCCCTGCACTTGATTCACAACTCAAATACCTAACTACAGTTTGTGGTCAAAGCAGATGATAGCAGAGAGAAAGATAATATAGAGTAAATGGATTTTAATTTCTAATGGAATTCACCTATTATGCCTGCACTGGCTTGTTAAATGAGCATCATTACCCAGTGCCAATCTTCTGCTTTTACCCCATACCCTTGCACATTATTTTTATCCAGATAATTACCCAACTCCCTCTTGCAATGCTTCAATTGAACCTGCCTCTACCACATGGTCCAGGCAGTGCATTCCTGAATGCTCATTGAATGTGAAGATTTTTCTCACATTACCTTTGCTTCTTCCAGATGAGACCAGTTTAATGTGGGATTTAAGTGTCTCTCTCAGCTGGTTCCAAAGGTCTTAGCTGGGATGAATCTTTTGGTCAGGGTATTTTCTACTGAGCAGGGGTGTTACTGGGCACTGTGTCACTGGTCTTCAGGAAGAACATAGGGATTTGAAGAATTTGTGCTGATGTAATGTGCTGTTGGAATGTTAAGACATATTGTTGAGACAGATTAGAGAGGGCTTTATTCTACATGTAACCACACCACTTTTCATTGAAGGATAGCACTTAAAACAAATGCTGTACCCACATCCTTCACTTGCAAAAAGAAAACAGCTCCCAAGCAAAAATAAAGCAGAGCCTGGAAGCTGGGCTAGACACAAACATTTATCCTGTTTTCATTTTGATGTATTTTTCATTTTCTTTTTCAGCCAGAAGAGCTCACGAACGCCCTGGAGATCAGCAATATTGTCTTCACCAGCCTGTTTGCACTGGAAATGCTTCTGAAGATCCTGGTGTATGGACCATTTGGCTACATCAAGAATCCTTACAACATTTTCGATGGCATCATTGTCGTCATCAGGTAAATTGTCAAGGAGATGCAAAATCCGGTCCTGAAGGCATCAAACAGTAAAGTATCACCTGTGGAGATCTTTGAAAAGACGAGCATTAGAAAGTAAATATCAGCAGAAATATAAACTAGGCTGACCATTGTCCATTTTACATTCTTGTACAAAATCAAACTCTAACCCCCCGGCTCTTCCTTTCCTGAATCCTTCATTTCCTCTCTTTTTCTTGGTTTATACATTCCCTCTCTCGCATCCTTTACAGAAACCAGTATGGTCAACTTACAGGATGCTTTCTACTTCAGGGGATACCCATTGCACAATAAGACATAAAGCAGACAGAAAGTATCGAAATTGCTCAGTAGCTGTCTGCCAGGATGAGATCCTTTCCAGGTTTTGGAATGGCAATGATTTTTGCTGCATTTCACACTGCGGGATGGAGTTTGCGCTGATGATCCTGGGCACCCATCTCATGAAGTTCACCACACACTCAGCATAACTGAGTCTCTCCACTCAACACCTCTCACCTGGCTTCCCACACTTGCAAACATCAAAGTCCCACACCTCTGGCAACTGATGAAAACCCACAAGCTGGTTGAAACCATTAGTGCTGCCCGTCATTTGCCCAATCCGTGATGACCTACTGACCGTCTCAGCACCCGAAAGCCAGCAGGATGCCTTTCAGTCAAGGAATGGCAGACATGGGAAGCCACTAACAAGTTCCTTGTGACAAAGCCCATGTTTTGAATGGCAGACTTTAAACTTCCACAGGGAGCGCGGTCCTTGTTAAACAGGTTAAGGAAGAGTCAGGACACGTGTGCAGCTGACCTCCAGCACTGGGACCCCAGTGAAAAGCCCTTTGACTCTTGTGGACAGACATCAACAATGCTGCACATTACTGAGCAGTGTCCCCTCTATGTATTGATGAGACCCTTCACCTTAATCTAAACAAATGAAGAGGCCAACACTTAACTGCAAGGAATTGATTCTCTGCCAGTTCTGTACATTACATTTGAGAGTCCAACTTTCTGAATTAACTAGAGCCCCAGTTTCTGCATTTGCACTCGTTAAAATGTCTGCCCGTTACCAGGTTCAAGTGTTGAATGGTAATTGATTACAAGTTCTCAGACTAATGTTACGCCCCTCATTTAATTTGATTCGCCTTTCTCTGCTCCTCCCAGTGTGTGGGAAATTGTAGGACAGCAAGGTGGGGGCCTGTCGGTGCTGCGGACCTTCCGCCTGATGCGAGTACTGAAATTGGTGCGGTTCATGCCAGCCTTGCAGCGCCAGCTGGTGGTCCTGATGAAGACGATGGACAACGTTGCCACCTTCTGCATGCTGCTGATGCTTTTCATCTTCATCTTCAGGTGAGTGCGAGGCAATATTTTCTCAAGCAAAACTCCAGAGCCTTTGAGCACACTGGAAAACCTCATTGGAGGAGCAGGGCAGAGAGGTAAATGAGGAAGGGTATACTCACAGCCTGCCATTTCAATCAATGGGTGGGAAATTACACAGGTTCCCCTCCCAACATGCAATCCTCCCTGCCTCCTGTTCTTCTCTGTGTTCCACCCAGATGATGCTTTATACTAAAGCCATTCACCATTTGGCAATTTTGAGGGGTCAAAGCAATAGGAAAATAAATACAAAAATGAATGGAGTTGGCAAATATGCCATTGAACATTTCAAGGATTCTTGGTATAGAGAATTTTCACTCAATCAGAAAGTCATAGCTTGAAACAAATACATTAGACCTCCACCCTGATTATTTATTTCTGTTTTGTAAATGCACGCTAAGCTTCATATCAACTGCAGTCGAAAGGTTTGAAATAGATTCACAGTAAACAAGTTTTTAACTCACATGAAACTCTTTCATTGACAAAGTTAAAATCACCCCAATAATTCAGAAGCAAATAGATCAGGATGCATTTTGCTTATATTGAAGAAATAAAGACAGAGTTAAGCACCACAGAGCACAGTACTGGTTGCAAGAACATACTTGCAGGAGTAGGATGTCACCCCTTCAAAGCTAATCCACCATTCACTTAGATCATGGTTGATCTGTATCTTAACTCCACATAGCCATTTTGTTCAATGTCTTTTAACAAAACACTGTCAATCTTTGTTTTAGACGTTGTAGGACAGAAGACAAGGCAAACCAGGGAGTTAATGGCTCCGTGCAGCAGTTGTTAAAGGTTAGCATAGACTTTCCCTAGGGATAGGATAAACCCAAGAAATGTTTAAGGTGAAAGAAAAGCAGATTTGGAATAAAAGCAGGACAGAGAGAATCTCTTTAGTATAATGGAAGGAAGGGAATATTTGTAACAGTATAACAGCTTTCACAACATCAAGGGTGTTTCCAAAGCATCAATTCAGTAGGTTTTGAAATGAAGGTTATTATAATGTAGAAAACAAAGCAACTGTCAGTTAATCAGTTTTAGTGTTGCTGACAGGATGATAAATATTAGCCAGGATACTATGGGGAGTTTTCCTGTTTTTCATCGATGTAAGTATCATCAGATCATTTACACCCTAAAGAGTAGATGAGACCTTGATTTAATATCCCAGCCAAAACACGACAGGTGCAGTGTCTGCGTCGCTCAGCGCTACACTTGTGTGTCAACCCTGACTTTAATGTTCAGATCTCTGGGATGGGACTTGGACTCACTTCTGACTTGGAAATGGATGTGCTATAAAAATTTCCTCTTCAACGCCTTGGGCTCAGTGGAGCCACTCACTTCAGGCACATCCAGGGGAGATGGGTGATCCAACCAGAAATGTCACTTTTCTTAGTCTCACACATGAGCTGTGTAATGTGGTAAGAACTGATTCATTCTATTCTGTGGTTGCTTCCTGTAACTGATTACAGGATGGATCAGATAACTGACAAGGAGAAATGCACAACTGCAGTAACGCAAAGCAGTAAAGTGGTTAGTATTGCTGCCTCAAAGCACCAGGCATCCGGGTTCAATTCCAGCCTTTGGTGACTGTCTGTGTGCGTTTCCTCTGGGTGCTCCGGTTTCCTCCCGCAGCCCAAAGATGTGCAGGTTAGGGTGGACTGGCCATGCTAGGTTGCCCCGTAGTGTCCAGGGATGTGCAGGCTGGTGGGTTAGCCACGGGAAATGCAGGGTTACAGGGATAGGGTAGGAGGGTTGTTCTGGGTGAGATGCTCTTCAGAGGGTCAGTGTGGACTTGGTGGGCTGAATGGCCTGTTTCCACTCTGTACAGATTCTATGGATGAAACTACATAAAGAAAAGGGAATTTAGCATGGCTCTGGGATAAGAGAATAAAGCTTTGTCCTTTGACATCACCTCCATTGCCAAAAATTCTGTAACTGTGTGCCATCGCGTTATACTGCCCAGTGATTATATTATTCTGTTTTTCCTTACAGTATTCTGGGAATGCATCTTTTTGGCTGCAAGTTTGCCTCAGAGAAAGGAGGAGACACTCTTCCTGACCGAAAGAATTTTGACTCGCTTCTCTGGGCTATTGTAACAGTCTTCCAGGTATAGAAAGTTACCCTCAGCCTTCAATCTTAAATGTTCAGTTGACTACGGGCTAAAATTATCAGTCTTGCACTTTAGGAAAGATGTTAAAGGTGCTGAAGAAGACATTGAACAGATTTACTCAAATGGTACCACAGATGAGGAACATGCAGAGAGACTAGACTGCACTGTTCCCCCTCGAACAAAGAAAGTTAGGATCAGATTTAGCAGAAATGTTCAAGATTTTGAAAGATTTTGATAAATAAAGGGAAACTGTACGCATAGTCAAGTGGCAACACAGATATAAAATGATTGGCAAAAGAACCAAAGGGGAGATGAGGAGAATTTTTGTGCAACAACCTGTTGCGATCTTGAATACCTTTCCTGAAAGAACAGCAGATACCGATTCAGAAGTAACTTTCAAAAGGCAATTGAGTATATAGCTGAAGAGGAAATCATTGCAAGGGCCATGAGGAAAAGGCAGGTGTTTGGAATTACTTAGTGAACTCTTTTAGAGAATCAGCACTGGCACAATGGACCAAATCTCCTCCAATGTGGAATCATTCTGTGCTTTTAAGAAAGTCACTGAGGTGCTAATAAAAGTGTACAAAATGTTTCCTAATACATCCACTTCGTGCTGCTAGAAAGACGTCAACTTTTCCTAATTAATTTTCCATGCCGATGATTTCCAAAATACCAATATTTTCTCTCTTGCATCGGTTGCACTCTGAAGCCAGTCAAACTACCATAAAATGAGTGCAAGTGTAGCAGTTAATTCGCGAATGAGAAAAAGATTTCAGGAGAAACGTCCCATCAGCTCAGGGTGCTCACATAGGCCTGGTCCTTATCCTTTGCTGATGACATCCTTATGCACTCCTTGGCGCCTCCTCTTATTAATACAGCTGACATTGATCAATTAAGAAATTCCTGGAAAAAACAGTAATTGTTACAAAAATAGAAATTGTTGAAAAAGCTCAGCAGGTCTGGCAGCATCTGAGGAGAAAAATCAGAGTTAACATTTAGGGTCAAGTGACCATTGCTCAGAAGAATCAGGGCATGAATCTAGTCTTGTTCCAGAAAGAATTGGCCTGGATATAGAACAGAGGGGTGGAACTGCTTTGCTAATTGACTGATGAAGCTTTTCCAAGTGCAACTGTTAATTATGTGCATAATGCTATCAGTTGGACAAGCCTGGCTTCCTCTTAGCGTTCAGTCATAACAGTCACAATGTGACACTGGCATGAAAATAGTTTTCAATTTTTGGAATCTGCAGAAGATCACATCTGTACTCGTTGTTTAACATTCTCCTCCTTCTGTTCAAATCATTTCCTGACTTAACCTCTATCTCTACCACATCCTGCAACCCCAGGATTTGTGCATGCCTCCAACTTTAGCCTCTTGTGTATCCCTGTTTTCAGCACTTCATCTTCAATGACTGTGTCTTCAGTTATTTTACTGAATAAGTTGTCTCTAAATCTCTCTGCCTGTCCAACCCTCCCTCTCCTTCTTCAATCCGTTCCTTTCTGACCAAACCTTTGACCATTTGTCCTAATTGATCCTTCTTTAGTTTTGTGTCGGATTGCACTTCTCACCATGGGATGTTTTTGACTACAGCAAAGGTGTTATATAAATGCAGCTGTTTGTTGTGTACCTCCTTGCAAAAAAAAATTGTCTCACTCTTCCACAAACACGATACCATAGCTGCCGTGAATATCTCATTAAATGAACAAAGGGCTTCGTCATAACTAATGCTCTGACAATGCGTTTCTCGAACATTTATATGGTTAAGTGAAAATACCTGCAGGGATCTTTGATGTGGAGGGTGCTGGTGTTGATCTGGGGTGGACAAGGTCAGAAATCACCTGACACCAGCTTATGGTCCAACAGGTTTATTTGAAAACACAAGCTTTCAGACCCTCACTCCTTCCTCAGGTGTTAGTAACCAGAGCTTGAAGAAGGAGCAGTGCTCCGAAAGCTTGTGTTTTCATGTAAACCTGTTGGACCATAACCTGGTGTCGTGTGATTTCTGACCTTGCAGGGATCTTGTTAATGGTTGGAAAGGTTTTGAATCCATGGACACTATTCAGTCGATGAGGGGAGAAGTGCAGGAGGTGACCACAAATGTAAAGTTTCTTTTGGGCAGTAAACTAAACCTGCACAAAGTTCACCCAGTATGTGTCATTTCTTCCAAAAATGACAGAAAAGCAAATAACTTTATAATCTCCAGATTGGACAACTAAGACGCAGCCTTTTAGGAATGGTACTGGTGGGTACAGGGAGTGTTTGCAGTTCATTGATTCCCCACAGTAAAGATTGAGGCCATTCAGTCCATCAAGTCTGCACCAACCCACTGAACAGCATTCCACCCAGACCTAGCCCCACAACCCTATCCCTGTAATCCTACATTTCCCATGACTAACTCACCTAGCCTGCACATCCCCGGACACTATGGGCAATTTAGCATGGCCAATCCACATAACCTGTCCATCTTGAACAGTGGGAGGAAACCGGAGCACCCGGAGGAAACCCACACAGACAAGGGCAAATGTGCAAACTCCACACAGACAGTCACCCGAGGGTGGAATCAAACCTGGGTCCCTGGCGCTGTGAGGCAGCAGTGCTAACCACTGAGCCACCGTGCTGCCCAGTTCTTCATAGAACTCTGCTCAATATAATGACATTGCAGCTTTATAAGTTGAAATATGATGGAAAGAAGGGACTTGCCTAAATCCCACGTGGTGACGGCATTCAGCAAGCTGCTAGATGTTTTTGCAGCTCAATCACAAAGCTGCATTTGCATTTCAAAAACATTTTGCCACATTCTGGGTTGACCTGACACCACGTGACCTATGCGATTCTCCTTAATGGAACCTTTTGAGCTAAACAAGCTGACTTTACAACAACCCATGTTTAAATAGTGCCTTTACTGGATTAAAACATCCCAAGGTAGTTCACAGGAGCTTTCATTTGTTTTGGTGGAACTGGTGCACAGATGGTGACAATGTGACTCAATAGGGGCTGCCAATCTCCCACAAGCAAGAAGTAGCATCAAGTCATTTTAAAAAATCATTTCTCAAGAAGAGGAAACTCTACTGTTCATAATTTTCCATCAACCATCTGCAGTTGAGTCTCTTTTTACCCATCCAATTGCATCTTGTACAATGCTCTGAATGCAGCTTTCTCCAGTTTAGTGAGCCTATACAGTGAAGGTTGGCAACAACTAATCACAAGACCCTCCTATATTCCATACGTGGTTGATCATGGCCCTGATCCAGCTTCAATAAGTCCTTTGATCTAACGCTAACTCCCACAATCACTGAAATCAGCAGAGGGCCAGCTGGCATTCCTGACCACCTAGAGTCAGCATCCACACCAATGTTTTGTCAAGAGGAATATTAAGCCTGATGCAGAAAGGTTGGGAACAGGAAGCTGCCAACATTCATTGGCACCCCACTTACCCAGTCAGAAGTTAGACACTTTCTCTGGGCAAGTGGGTCGTGTTCAACACCAGATCCTGGCCATGCACCTGAACTCTGTGAGCAGCTCACAGGCAGACCCTAAGCAAAGACATTCTGGCCACAAAAACACAACTAACTTTGGCAAAATCGGGGAAGCCTATCGCCAGAGAATCCAAATATATCTTCTGCTCATCTCAGACACATATTAAAGACCAATTATAACACTACATGGATCTCAGACAGGTTACAAGGATGAGTGGAAAATTGACAACTTAGCTAAAAGCTTATTTCCATGATCTATGTTCACAAAGTCCAGTTCTCTGAATCCTGCTCTAGTATATATAGATTGGCATTGTCTTAATTTATGGAAAAAAGTAAATTTGGATGTCTGTACACTGGGAAAATGATAAACTGATGGGCCTGTTGTGTAATGCATTTGGATGTTTAGATATGTTATTTCATAAGAGATTATTTTCTGTCTTCCCAGATATTGACTCAAGAGGATTGGAACAAGGTCTTGTACAATGGAATGGCCTCCACTTCTCCATGGGCTGCTTTGTACTTCATCGCCCTCATGACATTCGGCAACTACGTTCTCTTCAACTTGTTAGTTGCCATTTTGGTGGAAGGATTTCAGACTGAGGTAAAATATGACATGATAAATCTTTGAATAATGCATGAGAATTAGAATTGGACAGTGCTCTCTGGCTTACCGCTATTTGTGATTGTTAAGTGCACTTTCTAATGTTCACTGCTACTTAATAAATATGCAGCACACAAGAAAACAAAGATAAAGGAGTCCTGTGTCACCCAGGACAAAGACAGAAGAATGAGAGAAAACCATTCAAACAAAAGATTCCATAGAAGCAAGCCATCTATGGCAATCACCAATGAATTTATTGACATTCAAACTAAAAAAGTCATCAGTTACAAATGCATTCAAATACTCAATTAGCATGCTATTAATTCCTGTGTCCAAAATTGGGATATAGAGGGGCTGTTAAATAGCGTATTTGTTCTTTATCAACTAAGATCAGTTCCACTGATACCTTAAAACCATGAGAAATTATGATTTTTTTAGAATTTGTTTCCATGTTATGCTATGATATTCCACTGTATACAGTGACATTCAGTTAAATGCTCTGACACATTGTGATATACAATGATAAAGTGTGATATACAGTGATATGCTGTGAAATACTATCTTGCAGAGCTGCCCTACGTTGACTTGTGCTGTTTCATGTTATCTATTAGCCATCAATAAAGAAATAATAGGTTTGCCAGTAAAAACACATTTATCTGTCAGCACGTTGTTAGCAACACTGCTGTATTCTGCCCTGTAATAGGTTAATCTGACATTAATTGTGGGGATCTGACAAGTTAATCTGATGATCTAAGTTGTTCATTCTGAAGTTGAACATTTGCTGTACTTAACTATTTGTCAGAATTGGCACATCATGCTATGAAATGATATAGAGTCATAGAGTCACACAGCATGGAAACAGACCCTTCGGTCCAACCAGTCCATGCTGACCATAATCCCAAACTAAACTCGTCCCACCTGCCTGCACTTGGCCCATATCCCTCCAAATATTTCGTACTCATATACTTATCCAAATCCTGACATACAGTGTTCCCCTTTGATATTCTTTACATGATTGTTTTCTTGTGTTTCACAACTTGTATTTAGAGGGTGATTTAAAGTGGAATGCATAGTGCCCCTTCAATTATATTTTCATGTTCTGTACCTGTGACACATATGGGCAGAAAGCTGAGTTCTCAAGTGTTAAGGCTGCAATTTTGGTTGGTACAATCTTTTAATCTGCCTTTTATAGTATCCAAGATTATGCAACAGTCCAAATGTAAGTACTTTCCCTTTAAGAAGATCTAATGGCTGTTTGGACCGTAAATTGAGATTGGGGTGTTGAATATTTTTTGAGAGTTAATGCAGCCTCACCTTCACTTTGTTTTCTCTATGATCAGTGATAAATGTCTTGAAACAAGAAGGTAATCATTTTGTTATTGCATTGGATTCGTCGTCATCTGATTGTGAAGTCCATTTCAAAGTCCCTGTGCTTTTTGTTATTGATTGGAGGTTAATCTTCATTACTGTGCCCCAAGTTCAGACATATGGTCCTGTGTAATATGATTGTGTATTGAGTACTTGTACAATCTTCATTTGGGAATTTTCAGTTGTGCCAGGGAAGCAAAATACTGAGTTTAAAACCACATTCTGAGCTTAGACAGTTGATCTTACCCTGCACTAGGGAGAGGCAAATTTTAAATTAACTATTAGGATAGTACAAGGAAGAATTGGCCACCCCTGGTCTTCACATGCGATCCAGTGAATCCCTGCTAACAAGTAAGCATGTGGATATATGTAAGTACCAGAGTGATTGCTGGCAAGACTGTGTTAATCAATGAGTTGGAGGTGAGGTGGAACATAGGGCATAACAAGCAGAATCTGTTTTACAGCAACTGTCCCGTTTATTCAGCAAATAGAGCTCTTCATAGCAGCCATCCCAATTACTCAGCAGAATTTGTTATAGGAACAGTCCCATTTAGTCAGCAGACTTGATAGCAACCATCCCAATTACTCAGCAGAGTTTATGTTATAAGAACAGTTCCAGTTCCTCAGCAGAGTCTATTTTATAGCAACAGTCCCAGTTACTCAACAGAGTTTGTTTTGTAGGAACAACCCCACTACCTAGCAAACTATGTATATAGAGAGAAAGCGGAAACATGTTGTTGAGATAGAGGATCAGCCATGATCATATTGAATAGCAAAGCAATCTCAAAGGGCCAAATGGCCTGCTCCTGCTCTTAGTTTCTGTGTCTTATTAGACTTTGTCTATTTCAATAGAGTCTCTATCCCCTACAACAAACAGACCTTATGACTGAAACTATTTCAGGGTGACCTCTCTGTGAGTAAAAGGTGGAGGATAGTTATACACTGTAAATTAAGTCTATAAAGTCAAGCACAGTCACAGGCAGCTGTGCCATCTCCAGAAGTGATTCAAAATACCATTAACACCAATCATCTCCTTTCTGGTCAGGACTTAGACTGGCCCTATATGCAGTTTGTAAGATTTAATAGATAGCTGTCTAAATTCACACTGCCTGACTGAGATCTCGAGAGATGAGGGTATTCGCAGAGTCAGCCACTTGAGAAGCAAAGGTGATTTAGACAAATCCTTCCTGTCAAACACAGTTTTTCTTTAATTGTAAGAATGGTTCGATAATGCTGAAAGGAAGGTTAGATGTAGCTTTGGTTGCCTCTTGTCTCAGTAATTCTAAGTACCATAAACAGGTTACAATTGAGCACACAATTCATGTGCAGCAATTTTTTTTTTTGGAGGCTGATTGCTGTTAAACTCCTTAAGATCCTTAAAATTAAAGTAGTCAGTGCTGGTATTTCACAGGCAGTCCATAAGCTTTCATGGCTTTGGTGGCACTTTAATGTAGAGTAACCAAATGAAACTCTGGCGTTATGTTACTGTAATCTGCTACATTAGGGACACATCAATTTCCAAATATCTCACATCATCAGGCAACTGTCCACTTTTGACCGGATTATTTTAATTCTTTCAAATAATTAGCTTTTAGCTTCAGATTTGAACTGGCTATGTTTGTCACAAATGGTTGGAAATAACATTAGAATAAAACTATAAATACCTTTCAGTTCCTCTCCCTCATTCTCAGTTAGGGGTCTGTAACTTGCAGCTCCAAAGCCTCATGTGTCCTATTAAGGACTTAGACTTGTGCAGCTCCCCACCTCGATCAATCAAACCCATTTTAATGGTAAATAAGGGGTTGGTTTTATGTTTTGGAGACTTTTATGAATAATGTGCTTACAAGAAAATATCATTCAATTAACAAATCCTTTGTAAAACTCATTAAAATGCTGTTATAATTTTCCCTCCATTATGATTGCCATTTCTGTAACAACATTACATGAAGATGTTGTGTTTTTGACTAACTTTTTTCAAAACTTGGCACTTCCTATTATTAAGGTTGCTGACCCCTTCTTTTGTGCCATCTAGAGCAGTAACATCGGTGGGTGTGAGGTTTAGAGAAGGGTGTAATATTGTCAAAAGCGTCACACATCAGTAATACTGGGGACCAACCAAGCAGTCTTTTCATATTCCCTTACTCCAATCATGATCGGGTCAAAGCCAGTTTGAAGTAATGTATTTTAGAAGAACAAGTGATGATAAATCAAATATCGCAATTTTAAAGTGAGTACATGAACACTGAAACTTTTTAACAAATGTCCCCTCAGGAAACATCCCTTTTCTCATCAGGTTAAGACATTGGTTGTTAGAAAGCATTGTCTTATTGAAGAGTTACTGCCACTCATGAGCAGATTAACCATCCTCTGACAAGAGACAAATATCCTCATAGAAACATAAAAAAAAGGAACAGAAGTCAGAAATTTGACCATCCCAGCCTGGTCTGTACCCTGTTCCAGCTTTCTCCTTTGATCACCTTAGCCCTAAGAATTATATCTAACTCCTTCTTGAAAATATTTAATGTTCTGTCTTCAACCGCTTTCTGTGGGAGAGAATTCCACAGGTTGACCACTCGCTGAGTGAAGACATTTCTCCTCATCTCAGTGCCAACTGGTTTACCCTGTATCCTTGGAATGTGATCCCTGGTTCTTGACTCCCTGATCATGAGGGACATCATTTCTGTATTTACCCTCTTTAGTCCTGTCAGAATTTTACAGGTTTCTATGAGATCCCCTGTCATGCCCATTTGATCATTCAATGAATTCAGGTATTAGCTAGCTGTTTTGTGATCCGTACATATGAGGAATGGACACATGCCCAGTAATACGTGTTTAAATATTTTCATTTTAATATGGCTTTCTGTGCAAGAGCAAATCCTTTCCCATTTGCTTCACCCTGGATTACTGGTTAGGCCAAGCTTGAAGTATGGGCTGTCTATTCCCAACATTGCTGCTAGACTGAGGTCTTCATTTTTATTCAGATAGTACCCCTTGGATTCCTCATGGTTTCAGAGATGTTTAACAGTCAAAGTCAGCCAAAACTATCAATTCTTACTTGGTCCCTATGTGGACCCACATGATCTTGGTTCCTCTCCATGGAGAGGGTAAATCTGCAGTGGAGTTTCAGACGTGGTAATGTGATAAATAAAGGGACATATTTTAGCATGGAGCACTTTTAAAGAATTCAGTAGTGAGAATTATAATGTTGGAGTGCCTGGAAGGAACATTAAAGGCAGAGCAGGAGCACTGGAATCGAAATTGGAAAGGAGTGACAGCAACAACAACAATAAAATGAAAACAGGAGATTGAATTAACCGTAGGTTCGGAATTCCAACCTTTGGAGAAACAAAGCTGTGTCCTGAAAACAATTTACTTTCTGTACCATATATTTGTGGCTTTAAATAGACAATTGGAAAATAAATTTGATGTGGTCTAATTAGCAGTGACAGAGCATGTTAACAGCAGTGTCAAGTCGTAGATACATGGGAGTGATCATAGGTCTATAATCTAATTAAGGCATTCCAGTGAGAATATGTATGAAATTAATGGAGGTGAAAGGCTCAACACCTGAACCCCAGGACCAAGTAGCTGCCTTGAAGTCACTCCCTAGTATCTGGTATGTCTTTTCATAA